GCTACAAACCAAACGAATGATAAATATATGAACAATCATACATGATAAGGTAGCTCCATTGCGGTAAAAATCACGGGTCGTACCTTTTGATCGTCTTGATGGGGTCCGGAGACTCGAGACTTGCCATCCACAGGGAAAAGAGGTGGGAAGTGAGAAGGGGATCGGGCAGGGATCTCAGGAAGTCCTTAAGTAGAGCGGCCACTGCAAAGACAGGCGCATCCTCGAGGCAGCTGGTGTCGCCCGAGGACTCGATCTCGTCCTTGAGCTCCCGGACAACCCTCAAGTTGGCGGACTTGCGGAAGATGCCTTGGGTGGACGGGCCCTTGGCGAGGAGCTGCTGCAGCATAACGAGGACCGGCTTCGGCAGGCCGTTCTCGTCGAGCCGTGCCAGATTTACGCCAAAGACGCGAGAACTCGGGGGGGAAGACCTTCGCAAGAGACCCCATACCCGGGATTTGTGCGACTTGGCGTCACCATTGACCGACGTCAGATTTCGCGCGTCGGTTCCCACGTACTTCTCGAACTTGGCAAGTCTCCGAACCTGAAAATAATTGTAATATGTCAAGAACTCTAAACTCTAAACAAAGCAAAAGGGCCCTTCCCAGTATCACAAAACTGTAATCACCGAAATTCCGAATGTAATATGCGTCATGCACACAAGCCGGGAAATTAAACTTTCTCGGTTTCTTTTCCCTGCTTCAAGTACACGTAGCGCCTGTCGTTCGGTCCCGGGGGAAAGATTCAACTTCAACGCGCCAGTTTCCTCGACTTGTATTGATACATTTTTCCGAGAGCTTATCTTATCTTTACTTGCTTAATGAAATAATCGCACATGCGCCGAATCCAACCAATTGTTTGTACACGCGCAAGAAAAAATTAATGCTGTACATGGCGGATTTACGCTTCCATCAGCGTAAAAGTACAGCAAATACTTAACAAAAAAGGCATGCAGGAAAAATAAATAGTGCAAAGACGCAGCTGTGCCCGAAAACACCAGTGTCTCGAAAATCCGACATAACGCTACATCAGAGGTAGTACAAAACTAGCTCTGTGATGCACCCCAGCCCCGTTTTTTAAATGTAGGCAAATGTTCGAGGCAAAAGTTCAATGTATTTTAAATTTAATTCGAAACTTACCTCACTACTCGGCTGGTCGTCATTTGATCCGCGCCGAAGGGATCGGAAAGACGCTCTAGTTTTCTTGCACCAGCTGGAAAAGGTTGTTCTCTTCATTTTTCAGTCCGAAATAAACTACGCTTTCACTAGTCCCAATCCGGTTCACAGTGAGAACAGTAACTACAACTGGACAGTAGAGCACTGCACGATAGAATTACTGAGGACTGAGGGACGGCGGTCTCATCGCACTTTCGAATATCCCCACTGTGCACTGATGTGTTATCGGTCTTTCACTATTGGCCCGAGCGAAATTATTATTCAATAGGAAAGGTCAGTAGTGGGATCATTTTGGCAGTGACTTGTACATGACTAATTGTGTTCGAGTACATCATTCTCAGGTAGCTCCACCTACACCGGAACACGACACCTCGACGATGTGTAGCTTAGAATTTAAATTTAACACTTTTGGGTATCCTAAAAAGTGAAAAATAAAATCAGAATACCTCATATGTATATAATGTATGTTAGCCCGTATTTTGTTTTAATTTCTGGCTTTAACGAAGCGTCTTGCGGTATGATATTGATCATAATTTTCGAAATAACAAAATTTATGGTGGACCCAGTATTTCATGAGTTCCGCTATACTGGACACTTTTTAACGGAAAAAACCAGAGTATGAAGGCTGTAGAGTAAACAAAAAGTTAGTTTCCTCAGATTTTACACAATTACAAACGTGTATAATGCGGGACAGGAACTCCCTGTAATCTTTTTATATCAATCATTGAAGAAGAAAAAAATTGATTAGTTCAACGGAATAGGCAATAATTGTATTTTACAAAGCATCGAAAGGGTTTATCTTAAAACTCCGATTGACACTACTATTCCTAACGCATTTTTTAATTGATGTCGTTTTTAATGATTCAGGATATTTGTATTTATGACAATTTCCAAAAGTGTTAAAATTTTCGTTAAAGTTCCATAAACTACAAATCATCGCAGAACAAAAAACAAACAGAGCCAGAGATTCGACGTAAATTTAANAAAATATGATAAAAAAGTTGGTGTATACATATACATATATGTGCGGGGGTGCAGCAGTATAATTATGATGTAGGTATATAACAAGGGATGAGCATGACGCGCTTCCTTGGCCTTACTTTGCGTTGTTTGGAAAATACCTAGTAGTAGGCATGTTGGTAATTTTGCCAACTTTAAACAAAAATTTCCTGGTCTACGAAGATCGGACGTTGGCACGAGAGCAAAAGGATCATTGGGCGCAGCGGCTTCGTTAAAAACTTCAAAAGCCGGATCCACCACAGCGTAAGTATAATTATATATACGTGTTAGTCGTAAAGAGCGAAAAATACGAGACAAGGGCTTGTACATACCTAAATAATATGCACGCATCATGCAGGTTGAAACAACTAATGGTGTATATACAAGTAAGTATATATATGTAACTATTTTCAGACAATTTTCTCGCATACGTACACGTAATATATAATATGTACGCTCCATTCAATTCCGCTTCGATCGGTAGGCGTACCTCCACTACTAACAGCGTGATAACGAAAATCGAATTTTCATTATGATATATATACTTACCACAATATTATGTTGTCTCTATATACCTATAAAGCTTTCGTATTTGAGTTGATTATGGTGATAAGTTACGTGTAATGTACCTACTATTTTCAATCTTATAGTATATCCCATATACGCTCATTATATACGGTAAGTACATACGTATACATGTGACTCTGTTGTTTATATAATATAATGAAAAAGTATATTATAGATATGGATAAAAAAATTCGTTGTATCCGCACATCTTGCGCGCAATGGGCCCTATGAAGTCACGTAACACGGGAGAGGGCGTGGCACACCTGCGCGCATCTTACCTGCATTGGCCCATCGAGAGACACAGACTCCTCCTCCTCCTCCCTCCTCCACCTACTTCTCTTATTTCTCTCCTGTATACATATACAAAGGTATTATACGTACCTCCATCCACCCCCTCGCTTCGGTGAGTAGAGCTACTCACGCCCCGCACGGTCCATGGATACGGGTTTACAAAAATCTGCTGCGCCAGAGGGTAGTTTTTTTTTTTTTTTTTTTTTTTATTTTTACTTACCGTGCAATTATTTTAATCATCACATAGGCTCACGCGATAAACGAATCGAGCAAAAAAAAAGGGTAGATAAATTTTTATTTCCCTTCGATCTCGTTTTCGTTTATATTCGTGCTCTCCTCTGTATTATACATTTCCAGAGAACACACGAGTACACCCAAGAAAGTTTAAGGCTTAACGAGTCATCGCTCGATTACCATACACCCCCTGACGTGTGTGTAAAGCGAAGAAGAAACTCCCCGCGTGTGCACTCCGATCGAGTGCCAATTACCGTACGGAATACACATATATATATCGTTTGTGCGGAACAAAGTTACCTTTTGTGATGACATGATACGAAAAAAAAAAGCGCCCAGGGTGCAACGCACACTCTCTTCTCCTAGGCGTGAAAATATATATCACGCGCGGGTGGTCGTTCCCTCGGGAATAAACGCGCGCAAAGTGATAATTAAAAAAAACGTAATATGTGGAGCGAAGAGAAAAAAAAAAAAGCGAGCCAAGATGTTCCTATAATGAATGCGGCACAACTTCAGGTGGAGGGGGCAAAGCTGCGCCGGTTAAGCTACACGTTAATTAGACTAATTAAATCGCGGAGCTCGAGTTTTTTTTTTTTTTTCCTTTCGTCTAAAGCACCGCGCTGATTTACCGATCCGATAGAAAGGGACGAAGCTAAATATATACGTATGTATAGAAAAGATTTTTCACGTGCATTATACTATTAAAAATGATTATTTTTGCTTTTCCACGATTTCCTCGAACCTCCGGATTCTTGAACGATGGCTAGGGAAAAATAAACCTTTTGAAAGGCTAACCCCCGAAAACAACTAATTACCGAACCACAAAACCGAACAAAGGGCCGATCGATCCGTATCATCCGGGATACGCTGACTACACATTCAATTTGTTGGCTCCGACCCCCTTGTATGTATACATATACATAGAGAAAGAAAAGCACCGCAGAGGCATATGTATATACATGATAGAGCTTGGCGATGACCCTCTCTCGTGATATTTATACAGCGATCCGATGCTCCTGTGATTTTATCCACAGGCATTTTACACGCATAACGGGAAGCTGCACCACAAAATTAAAAAGCAGATATATACATATGTACGGACACACACCCGCATCGGGCAACGTAAGCGCGCACGGACGTGTGTGTATGTATAGTATATGGTGGGGGGGGGAGGAGCCTCCGGCGGACCAATGGTTGGCGCGCTCCCACCCCCAAAATGGCCGCGCGGTACAACAACCCACGGCTCGGGGAATAAACGGGTGGATTAATTCACGCGCGAGGAGGAGGAGAGAAGAGCAAAAGCGCCGATTTAAGATTCATCATTTCGCGGGGTTTGGGGAGCGTGGGCGTTTTGCGGAGTTGAGGTTTTTTGCGCTGCAGAACGACGCCGGTCGTCAGCCGGGGCACTAAGATGCGGACCATATCCTACTCCACCCCGTGACGGTGGTTTCGAAGCTAATGGCTGCTCCTTCTTAAACCCGCGCTCGCGTATTTTGCCGATCGATCGAGCGATAAATCTTATACGCTGCTCAAGTACTTGTGAAGTGCAGCGGAGAGACACTCGGTTTTTCTTTATCCTTACTTTTTTTTTTCTTTTATTTATCGTTGTACTCTCTAAGGTATACTCATCGAGAAGATAAGTACAACAAGTTGGGCCGCGAACTCGTTGACAAGCATCAGAGTTGTGAAATATAAAAAAAAAGAAGTTTCATTGGAGTATATACATACACATAGTTGTACGTCGTATACAATAAATCGTGCGAGGAAGGTGCTGCTGCGCTGGATCGATTCGGCTTTTGGGGCCCGAGTCGGCTGTTGGTCAAGGACACGGGGACGATGCAGGAGCACAAGTCCTTTCTCATCCGAGATCTGCTCGGCGACGTGCTCGGCCATCGAGTTCAAGGTACCCGCAACCACACATATATATATACATATACTATTTGCTCCATTAACTCGATTAAACTCATTCTCGCGCTACATCGGTTTTTTCCCCCCTTTTGCAATTCGGTTGTACATAAATGTAGTCCTCCACCACCGCGAATCTCTTTAATGACGTAAATATTGCACCTGTCATACCTCGTCCGAATAAAAATCGCGCCACATACGCGTCTATACTTACACCCCTCCGCCGATTTATGTACCCCACGCTCGCACGCCCATAATCGATAAATCCATCAGTCGATCCACCCGAGTATAGGGGGTCACGTTGTAGGGGGGGAGGGGGAGATCGGGAGTCACGTGTCGTATATATCGCGGTGCGCCCTCGTTAGGATACGTATGTATGTGCCAGGTGGGGGGTCCGAGCGCGTACGTGTCGATGTCGCCGCATTGTATGAATTTAGTTGTCCGCGAAAAAATCACCAGATGGTCGGTTAGAGCGCAAACTGCATATTGTGTATACAGCGTCCCCGTGTATACATATATAAATGTGGGATCGGCGCCCAATCGTTAGCCGCTCGATTTGCACGGCATCGGTCACCCACTGCGCCCATATAGGGAACGTTTAGCTTATGCCCGAACCCCGTACAACGCCCGTAGCGAGCCATGTACGTCGTGTTTATAATACGAGGTCGATCGGACGTGAAAAGCCAACGTGCCCTACACCACGAGACTTTTACTCTTACGATGTATGCGAAAAAGTGCAATAATTGGGAAAAAAAAAAAAAAAAAATGGTCCCCCGTCCAGACGACTCGGAGGAAGACTCGGCCCTGCACTCGGACTCGGAGGACACGATAGACCCGGGCAGCAGTCCCTCCCCTGGCTCGGCCACCTCGGGTGGTGGTACCAAGGCCTGCCTGGCGAGCAGCCTCGGGGGCTCGAGCGGTGGCGGCCGGAAACCCCGTAGGCGCCGGACCGCCTTCACCCACGCCCAGCTGGCCTACCTCGAGCGCAAGTTCCGCTGCCAAAAGTACCTAAGCGTCGCGGACCGCAGCGACGTCGCCGACGCCCTCTCCCTCTCCGAGACCCAGGTCAAGACGTGGTACCAGAACCGCAGGCGAGTTTTTTTTTTTTTTTCCCCCCTCCATCAATGGGTCAACTTGATTTATCATTTCGTTGGCAGCGCAGGACAAAGTGGAAGCGCCAGAACCAGCTGCGGTTGGAGCAGCTGCGCCACCAGGCGACGGTAGAGAAGGAGCTGCTCGTCCGGGGCCTGCACCACGGATCCATCGAGGCGTACTGTCCGTCGGCCTACGGTCACCAGAGTCCACCGTCGGTGCAGTCCTCCTCGCATCAGCAGCCGCAGCAAGGCACGGCCCAGCAGGTGATGGCACCCGTACAGCCGACCAACGCGTCCACCGCTGCCTTTCTCTCGACCGCGGCAGCTCTCTTTCGCAACGTCACCTACGTCCACGGGTGTCCGCTCTAATGGCTCCTCCCGTCACACACACCGATCATGTTTGCTTGTTGATGGGTACATATATATACAACAGTGCACGCTTCATTGTACTTGAGGTACACCTCGCTATCTTTCTCTATTTCGATTGTTGCCGTATGTTATTTTTACCTCCAACTGCAGTCGTCCGATCGAGTGGACCGGTCTGCCGCGCATACAAATAATAACGGTTTACTTTTTTCAGTATTACATCGTACATCTAGTCTCTAGCTTTTTTTTCATTACATACATACAATTTGACGCGCTTTTCAACGCATTTCATACAAGGATAATATACATACGTGTGGGCCATCTAGAAGTGTTGATTGATTTGCTTATTGATTACTTTTATCGGCAATTTCATGTGATATATCTACGATTAATTGCGCAAGTATATAGGTCGAGTGGATGAGAAATATTATTAATTCACGTATACGGTGGTAGATTGTATAGGGTTTTAAAAGTATACAGAAAATGAGATAGAGACGGTTTTTATCATTGTTACTTATTGATCTGTACCCAAGAGAGTATACTTGGTATAGGTGCGTGTTTCGTCTCTCACGCACGACGAGCGGCGATATACCGTGTAAATATGTAATTACGGCAAAAATAGATTAATGTACGATTGTTATATGTATCGAATGGCGCGAATGACGGAGGAAAAGGAGTGACGTTAAACAAGAGTACAACATTTATGTTATATTTCTGCAAAATGAACTTTCCACCCAAGTGGTGGGGCGCACGAGAGTTATTTCGATTTAATATAAAATAATCGTCTCGGCGGCGAATCGGTGAAGGTGGTAAGTTTTTAGTGGAACGAAATATTGAAATAAATTAACAAAACAACAACAACAACAACAACAACAACAACAACAACAACAACAACAACAACAACAACAACGATAAAAAAAGAAGTCACCAAAACACGCATTTGTACCTATACAAGTATTAATTAAACTTAGCGAGCTTAGCTGGTATTGTACGTATGATGATTAATCGTATAAAAAATTTTAATTCCGTAAAATGTGCAATTTTGTTGTTCGTCGTCGTACTTACGTATATAAAACACGTATTGTAAAATATACATAAGAAATGTACGTATATACTACGGATTGTTTATTAAAATTCTCCTTAGCGATTGAAAATGTATTAAACATATGTAATAAAATTATGATTAAGTGCGGCCTTTTGGAAACTCGTTAAACAAAAAATTCATGGATTATAGTAAAGTAACAACCTTTGCCCATGTGCATATATAATAATTTAAAATGTATAGACAAGACGAAAAAAAAACTCTAATTCTTGGATGATGAGAAAAAAAAAAGAAGATGAAAGTAATTGAATTAACGAGCAACAAATAAACGAAGAAACAGAAAAAAGTGGCACCTCTTGTACGTATTTAATTGCGCGTAAACCCTCTCGAGCCTATGAATTACGTTGTAGTAGATGGGGAAGATACGTCTGATTGTATTTACACAATACGCACACTTGACTGATCTTCAAACCTTCAAACTCCTGTCGATGATGATGATGATGTATGTAGGTACGGATGGACAGCGGAGGCGCGTAAGTACACATTACAATGGACACGTGCTCAAGCCTCGTCGTGTATATACATACACGCACATGTGATTCGAAACAGCCTCTTTCGGACTTGATTAACCGAAATCGTTCACAACGACCACAATACAATATCCTGTGTACAGAACAACGCCTTTTATTATTTTACAAGTGAGCCTGTACTTATCAAAGCAATTTGCACCCCCCCCCCCTTTTTTTTTTTTATCGTTTTTTATTCTAAATTTAATGCATTGTTGAGACTAAAAAAAAATTTCTCATATGCTTTATGATTGCTCCAAAATGTCTTCAAACAGGGACCGCAGTAATATTTTTTAGCCATCATCAGTACATAAAAGTGCCTTCTTTTAGTTATGCCAGAGCAAAAAGTAGTTACATTGTGTTACTATTTGAGGGTTGAAAATTCATTATCACCACAAAATGTAAAGTTTATCCGATGCTCCGTGCAAATGATAGTCGACACGATTCATTGGCCCATTAGAAAAATAACATCAGCTTACCACACTTCGTGTTCATGTATGTATTTACATATTGGCGCTTACATTTATATGATTTGAGCAACAGAAAAAAATCATACTGGAATCGTTCAACTTTTTTCATAATAATTGTTCGTTGAATCAAACAACTAAACGGACTACACGTGCTTAGTGTAAGTATGTAAACCATAATCATACACTGAGTTTGTGCATTTGTTAATATTATTTCGAGTAAAAAAAAAAAAGAAACACCAAATATATGTAATGTTGTCATTAAACTTGGTCAGTAAATTACACAAAATTTTCATATCTGTATACCGTAAAAACTGAGCAAAAAAAGACCGAACAGAAAAAACACGGAGATCGCTCGGCGTGGGGTTGAACGGGGTAAGTATATTTACTTATTATATCTACAAAAAAAAAAAAAAAAACGTACTCATACGTATTAAGCAGTATACAATCGAGCGCGCGTCAAAGTCACTTGGGCGCACGTCACAATCGAGAAACTGTTCAACGGAATCAAGGGTTTGCTTGTACCCCCCCCCCCCCCGCTTGTATACTCACAAAGGACCTCGGCCCACACTCGACTTTTCGCATCATCCTTCGTAGGTATACACTTGTACGTCACACACGCACCCAGTGTGTATTAAAATGCACGTGGCACGTAAGGAAAAAAGAAAAAAAAAAAAAAAAACCTCTACAATAAGGAGCTCCTAGCTGTGCCCGTACGTGCATACACGTATCTTTTATAATACACATGGATATACTTGGACGCGATGTTTGGCACTTGGGCACGCGCACCAAGGAGTCATCTCTTTCCCAAGGTTTTTTTTCCTCCCCCCCCCTCCATACTTCCATCGCCGCCCCAACCAAGCGAAAGCACTTTCCTCGATACACCCTGCCCGCGGTGTTCTTTTCGCACACCTAATGCATTATTTTTTTGTTTTTTGTTTTCAATGCGCACGAGCGCGCCCACATAAAGAGAGATTTCCCGTGAGCGCGTCGTTATTTATGCATTTTTTTTTTTCCTTGCCAAACCGTCCAATTCTCTCTTTTTTATGATTCACCGTATATACATCGGACGCCCGAAGGTAAATGAAAAGGAAAAGTCAAAAGCAGTTCTCACCTCTCGTATACATATATATACGCGAGCAGCGGATTAATTGTTGGGGGAAAGCGAGCTTTTGCACCGGATTTATTTAGTTTGAAGAGAAAAAAAAAAAAAAAAAAAAGGGGGGAAGGAAAAAATTTAAAAAAAAAATTTACAGATGTAAAGATCCAGAAGTAAGGATTGGACGGGCGATTCGTGAGAAAAAGCATGGATGTAATGATATATATTTGTGAGCAGGAAAGAGAGAGGGATCACATATAATATATATATATATATATATATATATATATATCCCCCTTCCGCCCAGTTGCGAGACAGCAATGTCGCGGTGGGAGGTAAAGACTAACGAAGCTCTGGCTTTTTAATTGGAATGCGTTTCAGAAAAGCGGACACGCCTTTTCACTTTTTGCTCGCCTTTGTACTGTTTTTTTATGATCATATGCTCTCTCTCTCTTATTTTTCTGTACTGGTTGGTTTGTATCTACGTATAGGTGCATATACTTACTCAAGTACTTGGATGATGTTTGCGTGCGTGTCGGGCAACTTTTAGAAAATTTCCTCTTCGAAATATTCGTTAAAACATTTCAGTGTCTATATTTCGCGTTCGAAATCCATTCTGACATAATGGTTAAAGTTTTTTTTTTTTCTCTCCGAAATCGTTCACCCGGTTTTTTTTGGTCACGCGAAATTTGACTTCTGAACGTAAAAAGGTTTATTTTCACTATTGTTGAACCGATGCAGTTACTATACATGTATAGATGAACATGGGCTTCAACTTGCGTGATGCAAAAAATTTAAGGAAAAGTTGGGACAGCAACGGAACTACTGAATCCGTGAGCAGAGATGAGTGGAGAGAGCTTCCGTTTTTCGGCATACAGATTGTGTACAAAGCGTCTCGGCGACATTTTTTGTCCCTCGTTCAAAAAAGAAGATAAGCACCTACGGGAGACTTTACAATTAATCAAAATTTCAATTGTTCATTTCAAAGTGACACAAGACCGCGGAATAGCTTCTGCCCTCCTGACATTGCGAATCCGGAAATTGGAAAGTTCACCCCGTGCAATCACTGAATTGTCAATAAACGCGATCCACAAGATTTGTTCAGAACATAAAAACCAACCAATGTAAAAACTCGACTGAAATAAAATTTGGAGTATTTTACTATTAGTACCTACGGAGTATTCGTGAAATTATAAGTTTTACAAGATTACAAACGAGTAGGGGTGGGAAAAATTAACAAACCTATATTTTTCCGGTTGATGAGATCGAAAATCTTTAAGTCTTCTGCAAGTGAGCTAATATTGATTTAAAGTTTTTTTTTTTTTTTTTTTTTCAAATAAAAACGAAATATAGTTTGTAACGCAAAATTGAAACCATTTCAGAAATTGCTGTCCTCATTTTTAATTTTACCACTCATTTCGCGCTACAACTTAATGAAATATTTCAATTGCACGACCTTTTATTTGAACTAAATTTTGTAAAAAAAAAAAATGAAAAATACGCCGATTTTACAACTACTTATGGGTTCGATGACGAGCCCCAATGTGTACGATGATTATATTAACAAAATTCAATCGTACAATTCGGGTTGATGTGGGCGAGAATAAAAAAAAATTGCAACATATTCAAATGAAAGCCATTACGAAAAAAAGGCTCTTGTACACCAGAGCTCTTCAAAGCCTAAATACCAAAGCGAGAGAGGTATATATACATATATATGCCTGCAGAAAGCGAGAAACAATCAGCCAGGCAATTGTCGCCGAGAGAGAACGTCTCTCCCTGATGGAGTTTCGTGCCTTTGCCTGGCTTGGCTCGTCTGTGTACACCTACACCCTACCCCACATTCTCCCTATACTTGTGTACGCCGCGGGTGTGTGGAGTTGGAGGATTTTCGTTAAAGAGCCCCAGAGCGAGTGGCACGTTTGAAGCATTACTTCTGGGGCATCGCGGCTAACGCGAGCGACTCGAGCTTAATGGCCTGTTTGCGTGCAAATTGCGCCATCGCTAAAGGGCAACAAACAATTCTCCGGTAAAGCACGAGCTCACCGCCAACCACGCGACGACTCGCTTAAAGCTCGACGGGTGAATTTCAATTGCCAGAGTCGAGAGAAGCTCGCCAACTCCGTCTCTTGACTGCGCGCACGTATAACTTACGTGATGAGTCGACGACGAATTTGCATAACATCTTGAGGCTGCGAACTCGTGGATTTGTCAGGCGTCTCCTGCCCTCCCTCCCCCCCTTCCTTTTATTACTTCCACCCTGTTTCCTGAGCTTTGAGGGTCTACAAGTTTTTGAATGCACACAGATGTTTTTTACTTTTTGAAGATGCGATGGTTTTTGGACATTGCTTTCATCAATGAAATTCCTCTATCACACGATTAAAAATATTTACAACTTTTTATTGTAACATGCATTTGATGCATGTCACGTCCAAGTGCATATTTCGAAAACTGCGAAATTACTGTTCTCAATATTCCATAATAAGTAAATCAAAAGTATGAACATAAAAATGGCAGTAACTGTTCAGTAATCATTTATCATATTTGACTAATTGTACGCTACATCTATCATTTACGTGTTTATCTCGGAGGGTAGGTATTAGTATTAGAATTTCGCGGTTTTTATATTCAAATACTGCCATTGTAATTTGTTTTTTTTAAATACCATCTTATCAAGATGAAAGTATCGACTGAAAGAAAAAATCGGTTTTTGAAAAAATAAAATTTATTTTTTTTACTTAATAGATATTTACAATGTGTGAAATTGAGTATTTCACATATTTCATAAATAAAAGTATGCTGATGTCTGTAATCAAGTCTTAAAGAAGTCGAGAAGTTAGGATTTAAAGAAATAGACAACAGTTGAGAATAGAAACTTTTTTTATATTAACCATTATACACAGTACAAAGATTACTGAGCAACAGTTGCGGCGCTTGCTGTTGGAGCAGCAGTGGCGGCAGTAGCCTGAGCTTGCTCTTCGCGAATGCGATCTTTCTTCAAGACACCCATGAACGAAGCCTTGTCCTGGGCAGTCTGGAAGCGACCATGACCAAACTTGGAGCTCGTATCGATGAACTTGAGATTGATCTTTTCAAGAGCAGAGCGCTTGGTATGGACTAGGAGCGACTGAAAAATAAATTAAAAATTCTTATTAGCTGGGCCTTTATAGAGTTAACAAATGATTATTTGATCCATCAAAATGTCAGTCCTATCATTCAGAATCAATTAGTATTCATAATAGTTTTTTTTGGCTCTAGAAAACTCATCACTGTAAATTTTTTTCTAATTGATGAATTGTTTGATATATGGTACACACCTTTCTTAAAGTGATGACGCGCTTCTTGGGTCCCATACAACAACCCTTAATCATGACAAAGTCGTTGTTAACTTCACCATAGTGGGGGAAACCACCCATGGGTGTGATACTTTTTTCGGTCAAATCGTACTCGGTCGAGGCATTGTTCTTGATAATCTGAAAGTAAAAAATACAATTAGGTATCTCACACATAATAGAAAATAGATGACATATAATTAAATTTATTGAAAAGTGTAGCTTGATTGGGAATCCCCAAAGTGCAGGAAACACAACGGAGAACTATGACACAGCTTTTATCTAGCCCATTAGCATGAAGCTGTTAAACTTGTTTAGAGGACTACAAGTTTAATGTCTAACAAGGCAGCAACTAATTCATTTCTTTGGTAAGGGGGTAATTACCTTGCCATCCTTGGTATGGATCTCTTGACCGATACGGTAAATCTTTTTGTTCATTTCGGTACGGTGGTGGTAACCCTTCTGACCAGCACGTGCAACCGTAAATGAAACTCTGCTTGGATGCCAGGCACCGATACAAGCGACCTTACGCAGACCCTTGTGCGTCTTGCGCGGTAGTTTCTTTGTATGCCAACGCGAGGTGACACCTGTAAAAATATTTGTTGTTTAGCTATTTGAAATGTTGCGGGAGGATTTCTTAATTAATTTTTTTGGGACTTCAGTAGGAAGGCAGCATGATGTTTTCAACAGAAATATTCTGATATTTTGCACATCATGTTTTGTCATCACATTTTATTAGGACCTAGTTGGAGTTTAAAGGTGAATCAATATTTTTAAAAACTGGTTTACCTTTGACTCCTTTACCCTTGGTGACACCAATGACATCAATCATTTCGTCAGCGGCAAAGACATTGTTCACTGGAATGGCCTTCTCGAGGTGTTCTCTGGCCCAATTAACTTTGTCCTCGATGGTTCCACCATTAACTTGAATTTCCATAATGTGAGCCTTCTTCTGGCGCTGTCTCAATAGTTTCATTTGAGTGTGAGCAATGACGCGGACGACTTTGCAGTACTTCATGATTTTCTTGAAGTCTCTCTCGATGGAAGCGCGTCCCAAATTATCTTGCCACTTCTTGGAGGCCTTGGTGAAAGCCTTCTTCTTACTCTTGTACCTATCAACAAGCAACCAGCCTATCTATGCAAAAACAAGCCCCTACGAAAATGTGTCAACCTCATCATTTACACATGAGAGGAGGAACAACACAATTGTTGGACTAGTCTTTTTTGAGTATACAATACTCAGTGACTAAAACCATCCATTAGAAAACTCTCATCTTTAGAGCGGAGAGCTTTACGGAATTGGTAAATTTTGGTTTCTTATTGCAATTAATTATTCGACTTGAAAAATAGAGACTCACCAGTTCTTGTAGAATCTACGGCGGCAATCTTCGGAAAGATGCTCAGCCCAGACAGTGGTCAGAGCACGGAGACCATGAGGCGTTTCGATGTAACCAACAACACCGACAATGACCATGGGAGGAGTTTCCAAGACAGTAACTGCTTCCACAATCTCTTTCTTGTTGACCTCTGTTAAGAATCGAGTTGATTTTTATTAGATTGAAGAAATGGAGGGTCATTTTAGCACAAATTAGATTCTAAGATGATATGTATCCAATATGGTTATTCCCTCAGTCATGGCCCAATGGGCTCCCTCAGGAGTATGGAATATATTGGATTTCGCACACCCAAGTGGGCTGCTGGTTATTCTACGATGCCACAGTTCAAGCTATACCGCGTGGGATCAGCGGCCCTGAATACCTGTGCCTGGCTACTAGAGATCACATTGCTGCGCTCATCCAGTAACCACCGAAAACATCGCTGATACACGTGAAAGAATTAATTCCATTTGTTGTTACACTCACTTGATCCAGGTCGATCAGCTTCGCGTACCACGTGGGTCATACCGGCCTTATAGCCGAGGAAGGCCGTAAGGTGGACCGGCTTGCTCGGGTCATCCTTCGGGAAAGCCTTGACCTTACCACGATGACGACAGGATCTCTTTTTGGGGTAGAACCCCATAGAGCCGTGACGGGGCGCACTGAATTTCCTGTGAGACTGTAAAAATACAGAACAGAAGGTTGGAATTAGCGATGCGGAGCAACCACGTGGCCAAGCGAATTTTGGCGATTATCGAACAAATCAGACCGCCCTAGAATACTTTCTACACAAAGTTTCAGTTTAAACCATAAACTTTTTTTTATCTAAATCATCATTTAGTTCGAATGAATGTACAGTACATCTGATGGTTAAGGGGTTGAAATTACGAATCCGAACGTATGTTAGTAAGCAGAGGTTAGGAACTCACGTACTGCAAATTTTGAGGAATTTGTGAATTAATCGTAATTTATTAATCGAAAATTTTTTTTAAATTGTAAAAATTAGTTGACCAATAATAAAGGTGTTAAGGACTCGTACAACAATGATGTTGGAACAGTAACAAATTCTGAAGGATGCATAATTGCAATGGCCAAGTGTAACGTATCAATATTTGTAAACATATCAAATATTTAAAAAAAATAAAATGCTGATACAAGTAATAAAATATTCAAGATGTTAATTGTTTAACTTTGAAGTTAATGGTGGGTCAGATGGAAAGATTAGAGGCGGATTAAGAAAAATTTGATCTTACCATGATGCCGTCACCGCAGAGATTAGAAGGGAGATTGCCAGCGCCTATGGTAGAGAGTGTGTCGCTTTTTTTCCACTGTTTTGAGCGCCCCGTCGCGGCAAATCAGCCGAACTATACGCACGTTTCAGCAGCGGAGGAGAAGACCAAATTGTGCGTACGATAGGTACCTAGTAGAGGGGGAAGGAATATGTGCGTATACACGGGTATAGCTATATATGTTTTGTATTCTAGCTGCCTCGGCTCTCGGCTCCCGGCTCTCGCAGCTCGCAGCTCTCGCATGCATGCGTATACCTATATCTATTCCTGATGTGATGTTCCCTCAAAAGCGGTTTTGTATGTTGGACAGTTATTATATGTCCGGTCATATATTATTCATTAAATGTGTATTAAATACTTGTACAGCTAAATACTGAGTTTTCCTCGTATAAAATAAAAAATTGAGTAATAAAAACGTAAGCCCCGATATTTAATGTAACTTCTTGAAACTTGATATTTATAAAATAATCATTTTTACAACTTGAATAATTTATGTTTTTATAGATTTATAAAAATTTAGCACATTAAAAATATCAGAATAATACACACACGCTTCACTTTGATTTTTGAGTTTATTCAATAGAGAATGACTTTTTCTGTAATTAAAATATCATTCTTCAACACATGTAACTTTTCTAATAAGAATAAGTAATTGTGAAAATATTTAGAAAAATAATTCTACTTGTAGGCCAAACTTTAACACAATTATCAATATAAAGAAAAAATAAACTAATACTTAAGCTTAAACCCTGGAGCTTCACGATAAACATGTGTCACTGTAAGTGCTAAAGAAAAGAGTGCGTTGGTAGTCAAGGTAACTAAGTACCGCATTGTGTAATTTTGCTTTGAGCATTCTGGGGTTCAAATCTCGCTCGCAGCAGAATTTTTTTTTTTTTACGATTTTTTTTTATGGTAGTACAAAACTTTTTTTTGATAATAGTATTTAATTCTCATGTTTATGTTGCTTACCGACTACGCTTTGTAAATTCATTCCTTGTAAAGTTGGGTGATTTTGTTAGATATTTAAATTTTTTAATAAAAATATAATATCATTAGTGGGGAAAATGCTAATTACCATTTCATCCTTTTTTAGATGGCTATAAAACTATTATTGATGAAGTTAAAAATCAACCAAAAGTAATTTAATAGTACTAAGTTATTTTACACTATTCTAACAAAATGGTTATGATCTCACTTCGATGAGGATCACACCTTTTACAACCCAATTAATAATTGTGTTAAACTTATTCAAACAATTAATTAAACTATTAGAAACCAGGAAAATTTTTGAAAACACTTTTTATCAAATGATTTTTCATTGCTTTTCCAAGTTAAACACAAGTTTATTGATAAAACACTCAGTTAACTGGAGAGCAAAGTATGGCATCACTTAACATAAAGGAAACCATGAAAACATTAGTAAAATAAAAGGCAAGGTATTAAATATTTAGGACTTAAAAATTTTTTTCCTATTTTAGAACTAAATTTTGCCTATTCTATAGATATAACTTATGTTGTACAAGTTCTTACACTAATTTTGATGATTCAGATCAAAAAATTGTTTTTAAATCCATACGGCATTTACCAAAAAAATTAAATTTATAGTACCTTATAATTTTTTCAGAGCCACAATTGTGACCTCTTATTAATCGTCTATATTTTGTTTAAAAAATTTTTAATCTAATAAAAGGGTAGTCTGAATATGTCTCATGGTGTATACATGTCATAAAATGTATGTAAAAAAACGTATTGCGGGAAAACTGGGCTTTTTTTGTCCATGAGCACTGCACTAAAAATGCTCTCAAAATTTTACGCTTTGATCAAACTTGTCTGATTGTAAACTCTCAGTTGAGACATTCAGCCCAAATCTAACAACAAAATTGCGGCCTATTTAGATCATAACTACTTAATTTAATCTTAAAACTTGATAACATGTATATGCGTCTGCGTTCACAGACAGAGTTCTGTTTCTCGTCAAAATTCAACTTTTTAGTACTGTAATAATACTATTTTTTGAGTTAATACTTGATTTTCCTTTATCTCACAAAAATGCCCATCAATTGTTGCATATAATAAGCGTATGTGTATGTATATGTACACACATCAATATGTTACTAATCACATTTTAGAACTTTTTGAAACAATTTTAACAAACTTTAAATTTTTTATCTTAAAATTAGTACTACCATCGACAGACGAAATTTTAATTTTACTTATACATTTTTTTAATTTCAATGTAAATATGTTGGTAAGTTTTAATCTCTTAGTACATACCTCTATAATTTTTTGCACCTATAATAAGGATTCTCATGATCGGTTCTAATCATCCTTAGCTTATGATTTTGTTTTGGTATACGTACTAAGGCTAAAAAAACCAATGTGATTGGTCAATTTGTTTTTTATTAAAACATATAAACCTCTAAAAATCAATGTTAAAATAAAAAAAGTTTTGCTTTTTGTTCTTAATTATTTTTTTAGTGTTATATTTTATGATTAAAACTTTACAGCAACATTAAGTTCCTGACTAAAAGCATGATTAAAAAAAATTAAATAAAAAAAACAAAAACAAAATTTGATATAGGTAAATTCGGGTGTACGTGTGCATCAATACTCATGTCTCTACAATCTTTTGAAAATATTTAGTAAGCCTAGTTGTTTCTAATCCCGTTCCTAAAGTCGCTTCAATTTTTATCGATATCTTTATTATTTTCAAATTAAGAATCATATGATATTATGTAAATATTTTAAATGACAAATATTAAATTGTGTCCAACAAAAACTTTAGGACTAAACCAAATTTTTAAAGTGACTATAATTATACCTGGATTCAATAAATATTAGTACAACTAATTTAGTGCAACATAAAAATTAAGAAATAAAAATTATTGATAAAAGTTAAGAGCTATGTAATTGGTAGAGATTTTTTTTTTTAATACCTACTACGATTCATTCGAGAAATCACTGGTTTCTCAGCAGACTATTAAATGATTTTATAGAAATTCTACTCAAAATATTTTTAATTATTATTGTTATTATTATTATTATAATTATAAATATTATCATTATTATTTATCCCAGGAATCAAACTAGTACTTTTTATACTAAAGATATCTAAAGACCACGTTTGTTGAACGCATTATATTTCATTGTTTAGGTGGTAGTCTTATTTGAGTATTGTTTCTAGAAAAAAAACACAGAAAAACATCACTGCTTTTTTTCAATTAAATGGTGTAAAACGATTTTTCAGCCATTTAAAAACGATTATTGGCTATTAAATCGTTCAGAAGATATTAAAAAAAAAAAATTACTTTCAAAAGTTTCTTTTTTATAAGCTCTACAAAATTTGTATTCAATACTTTGTTGTAGAATTTAAATTTATTTCTGTAACAGATACCAAATCTTTTTTGACTGTTTTTATGTTTATTTTGCATTATGAAGCGTCTGCATTAATTGCTATCTGCAGCAAAACATACAGTACTAAAAAGTTGAATTTTGACGAGAAACAGAACTCTGTCTGTGAACGCAGACGCATATACATGTTATCAAGTTTTAAGATTAAATTAAGTAGTTATGATCTAAATAGGCCGCAATTTTGTTGTTAGATTTGGGCTGAATGTCTCAGCTGAGAGCTTACAATCAGACAAGTTTGATCAAAGCGTAAAATTTTGAGAGCATTTTTAGTGCAGTGCTCATGGACAAAAAAAGCCCAGTTTTCCCGCAATACGTTTTTTTACATACATTTTATGACATGTATACACCATGAGACATACTCAGACTACCCTTTTATTAGATTAAAAATTTTTTAAACAAAATATAGACGATTAATAAGTGGTCACAATTGTGGCTCTGAAAAAATTATAAGGTACTATAAATTTAATTTTTTTGGTAAATGCCGTATGGATTTAAAAACAATTTTTTGATCTGAATCATCAAAATTAGTGTAAGAACTTGTACAACATAAGTTATATCTATAGAATAGGCAAAATTTAGTTCTAAAATAGGAAAAAAATTTTTAAGTCCTAAATATTTAATACCTTGCCTTTTATTTTACTAATGTTTTCATGGTTTCCTTTATGTTAAGTGATGCCATACTTTGCTCTCCAGTTAACTGAGTGTTTTATCAATAAACTTGTGTTTAACTTGGAAAAGCAATGAAAAATCATTTGATAAAAAGTGTTTTCAAAAATTTTCCTGGTTTCTAATAGTTTAATTAATTGTTTGAATAAGTTTAACACAATTATTAATTGGGTTGTAAAAGGTGTGATCCTCATCGAAGTGAGATCATAACCATTTTGTTAGAATAGTGTAAAATAACTTAGTACTATTAAATTACTTTTGGTTGATTTTTAACTTCATCAATAATAGTTTTATAGCCATCTAAAAAAGGATGAAATGGTAATTAGCATTTTCCCCACTAATGATATTATATTTTTATTAAAAAATTTAAATATCTAACAAAATCACCCAACTTTACAAGGAATGAATTTACAAAGCGTAGTCGGTAAGCAACATAAACATGAGAATTAAATACTATTATCAAAAAAAAGTTTTGTACTACCATAAAAAAAAATCGTAAAAAAAAAAAAATTCTGCTGCGAGCGAGATTTGAACCCCAGAATGCTCAAAGCAAAATTACACAATGCGGTACTTAGTTACCTTGACTACCAACGCACTCTTTTCTTTAGCACTTACAGTGACACATGTTTATCGTGAAGCTCCAGGGTTTAAGCTTAAGTATTAGTTTATTTTTTCTTTATATTGATAATTGTGTTAAAGTTTGGCCTACAAGTAGAATTATTTTTCTAAATATTTTCACAATTACTTATTCTTATTAGAAAAGTTACATGTGTTGAAGAATGATATTTTAATTACAGAAAAAGTCATTCTCTATTGAATAAACTTAAAAATCAAAGTGAAGCGTGTGTGTATTATTCTGATATTTTTAATGTGCTAAATTTTTATAAATCTATAAAAACATAAATTATTCAAGTTGTAAAAATGATTATTTTATAGATATCAAGTTTCAAGAAGTTACATTAAATATCGGGGCTTACGTTTTTATTACTCAATTTTTTATTTTATACGAGGAAAACTCAGTATTTAGCTGTACAAGTATTTAATACACATTTAATGAATAATATATGACCGGACATATAATAACTGTCCAACATTCAAAACCGCTTTTGAGGGAACATCACATCAGGAATAGATATAGGTATACGCATGCATGCGAGAGCTGCGAGCTGCGAGAGCCGGGAGCCGAGAGCCGAGGCAGCTAGAATACAAAACATATATAGCTATACCCGTGTATACGCACATATTCCTTCCCCCTCTACTAGGTACCTATCGTACGCACAATTTGGTCTTCTCCTCCGCTGCTGAAACGTGCGTATAGTTCGGCTGATTTGCCGCGACGGGGCGCTCAAAACAGTGAAAAAAAACCGACACACTCTCTACCATAGGCGCTGGCAATCTCCCTTCTAATCTCTGGTCACCGTTGAGAGTGAACGAAATATCACTGATCTGCTTGACACTGCCGCCGACTCCGGTTTCTCGACAGCGCTAGCGTCGTCATCTTCATCTTTTAGTATTGTACAGAAAATAGATTAAGTAGATTGCAAGATCAGATAAGACCATCTGTAGTTAATTGACGTACTATACATATGTATATTGACGTTTGCTGCTCGTTGCTGTTGTGTTGTGTTTATTTAATATAAAAACAATAAAGTTATGTATTTTGAAGTTTTGGAGCAATGTTGATCTTGTAATTTTTTAATTTTGTACATCTCGAATGTTTTGATTAATTTTTAACTACGTTGGAGCAGGGTTTGGAGGTGGCAATGAATCAATACGAAGAACAGGTACCTAGTCATTACAAATAAAATTTTTTCACTATTATTTTACATGTATTTTACCACCTACAGTTGATGCAAGTGCAAGAGGCACTGAAAACGGCAAGTTCGTCGGAACGACAGGGTTTGATAAGTTTACAATCTGACCTGAAAGAACTTATAAAACTTACCAAGGAAAATTTCGAAGGTGATGAAGATTCACAGCAAGAACAGACAAACTCCAATGCAGAGTCAAAAAGTACCTTGGATGATGAATACGATTTATTCAAGGTATGAATTCATGGGTCAATAACTCAACTTTCGTGACTGGCTTAATGATATTAAGAAAATTTATTTCATGCTCAAAAGGCCGAATTGGCACAATTGGAAGAACCACAGAACGACGAAAGTTCGGAACCAGGAAGTAGATTAGAAGTCAGTATTATGATATATGATAAAAAAATCATTAAAAGAATATTTATAAGACAGTTGTGTACTGTAGGACGAATTAAAGGCTCTTGAAGGTACCAAATGCAGAGCTCCACACGGTAGCAGCTGGGGTGGCACAGGATACCATAACGCTATGATTTGCTCAGTCCACAAAAGTGATGATGACATCAACAGTTTGAATGATATTATGGTAATTGTTTAATGTGATTCTATATCGAGTTTCGATTATTTGTTAATTCATATCATGCAATTTTAGATAAGAGTATTTTTTATCAATCCAACACACAAGGAGATGCTTCCTTGTCCTTATTTTTTGGATGGTTCATGTAAATTTTCCGAAGATCAATGTCATTTTTCTCACGGAGAACTTGTACCCTTTACAAGTATACAAGAATACAAGTATGAATCAATTGATCTTTTTATACTTAAAAACTCTTATTAGACATTGATGCAAGCTTACTTATTTTAGGGAACCAGATTACTCAAGTATAAAAATGGGAAGCAGAGTGTTAGCTAAACATAAAAATAAACTGTGGCATAGATGTGTCATTTTAAAAACTCCTGATGATAAAAATGACGAGTACAAAGTAAAGTTTGAAGCTAGTGGAAACACCATAGACGTTGGAATAGATGATATTTTACCACTTGGTAAATAGCAACTGATTTTTGTAAAGTCATGGTTTATTTATTACTCTTTGAACTTCAAATATTCTCTTATTATTAGCTCAAAAATAAAACATGAGAAATTAAGTTTTAAAATTTTTTTCTGTATTGGTCATTGTGATTTTATACATATATTAACTTATTGTAATTATTAGATGATGCTGGTTTGGAAATGTCAGATTCCTCTGACGAAAGTGATTATGAGCAAGAAATGAATGTTCGTAACAATGAAGAAGTTGTAGAAAGAGCATTATTATCCGTGAATTCAAATGAACGTTTGGGCGATTGGGAGAAACATACTCGTGGTATCGGCAGTAAACTAATGGCCCAAATGGGATACATTACTGGTACAGGTTTAGGTAGAAGATCTGATGGCCGAGTGAATCCTGTGGAAGCGACTGTACTACCAGCTGGAAAATCATTAGGTCAGTTGGAATGTTACTATTCAGATTCTCGTACAATAAATATTTCATTTTAATTAATATTGTCGATATTAATAGACCATTGCATGACTCTGAGAGAAAATGCTGGAGGTGACAAAAACTTATTCAGTGTTGAAAGAAAAATGCAAAAACAGAAAAAAAAATTGGAACAACAACGACAAAAGGAATATTTAAGAGAAAAACAAAGGGAAAAGAATAATGTGTTTAATTTTATGAATGCTACGCTAGGAAATAAATGTAAGGGACCGATTGTAAAATTAACTGCAATTACTGTAAATATTTTACTAAACGGAATGTCGTATCTTTTCAGCATCCGAACCAGGATCGAGTAAATCTAAGAGCCAAAAAGATTTAAAGAAAGAATCCAACAGAAACTTGAGTATAGCAAATTATCAAATATGGGAGGGTATTTCAAGGTTGGAAAAAGAATCTGTAAAATTACAGAGTCAGTTGACACGATTCAGTGAAGGAAGTGTACAGTATAACAATGCTCTCTTAAGATACAACGAAGCACAGAAACAAATGAGTAATTTAAAAGCTTCAGAAAAAAAAATAACAGCAGAACAAAATCAACGAAAGTTCAAGGTGAAAATGAAAGAATTTTAACGACAATACTAATTACTGTTTTGAAATAAAAAAAATTGTTTTGGTTAAAAATATTTTTATTATGTGCTACCTTCATAGATTTGTGAAAAATTTATATTTTTAAAATTTGATCCATGGTACATTTGGTAATTGCATATGTAAAATTAATTTATTTTCACGTCAAAATAGATAAAATTGTGTTTTATAGTGTTGCCATAAATAGACAGTATATCTTTTTTAAAGCACTAATGTTTTATTACTATGCATGTCTGAACTTTATAAATTACTTGAAAACTTAAACTATTACAACGATTTTTAATGATTACGTTAATTACATAAATCAAGTGATTCATTATGGTGACAGTCCCTGTCTTTTACTAATCACTAGTAATTTCTAACCTGTAATAAATGAACATCAGTGAGTATTTAAAAAATCTCGCCCTTATTACATTATTCATGGTAACCTGTAATACGTACTTGACTTTTTTCGTTTCTAATGTAGACTCCTTTACTTGATCCGCGTCCGAAAATAATGTGCGTCGAGTCTGAAAAGAAATAATTAAAAAATATAAAAATTATATTTACATCGTTATTATTACAATTAACACTTTAAATCTCTCACGTTATCGGGATTCCGGTTAAGGCAAATGCTGGGATTACAGTTACAATTCTCACAAGTAATACCATTCTTTCGGCATGAACACAAACGAGAGTTACATTGCGTTTTACAGGAACATTTTATATCTCCTTGTGAAGACCGCTTCAAGCCCGCTTTGCTTTCCCTCGTGTTATTTCGATTTGTTTTCTATTGAATCAAATTTCATATATATTTTTAAGTTGGTAAAATTCAACCAGTCATAAATGCAATTACCTCAAGATTTCTAAGTCTAGAGAACAGAGGAGTTTTCCTCCAATCTGGATCGTTTTCCACATCATCTTCAAACGCACTTTCATCAGTTAGAACGAATGAATCTAACTCTTCGTTTTCTTCGCGCACAGATTTAGTTTGTCTGAGCTTGAGCTTTACATCTGGGACATTACAATCCTTCTCAGTCAAAACCTTGTAGCAACAATAATAAAACATTAAAGAGTGAAATATTGTAATTTGATAATACGAATTGAAATTAAAAACCTTCTGTTGCAATTCTTCTATTTGGTTTTCAAGCTCTTTTATTTTTTTATCTTTCTCAGAGTCACTAACTAATTCTTTACCGTTGGACTCGTTCAAATATTCTTTTCGGAATTTCAAATTCCTTGAATTTCTCAAGTCGTACTTTTGCATTTCTTCATTTTCATTCTTTAGCTTCTCAATTTGATCCTTAAAAATATTATTCTCTGTAAATAATATTGATTTCATTTACATAAATTACGTTTAAAAAATTTTTTACCGTTAAATCTTCCAACGTCGATTGTAATGTAATTTGTTCCCGTCTATTGGTAGCGACTATTTCGAACAAAGTTTTCAAGGCCATTTTAAAATCTGCTATTGTTGAAATTGCATGCCATCTATTTTTCGCTCTGTTATCTAAAAAAAAGAATCAGCTTACTAATATTGCCACGTATTTTTGTCATATACAATATAAAAAAATCATGCGTTACCTTGGTTTGATTCAGCAATATGCTTTTCTAAATCTTTAATTTGTGTGTTTCGTGTTTCAACATACTCCATCAAATCAGCGATTTCTGCTTGGTTCGACAAAGAGCTGTCTGATTCATTGTGTAGTTGAAGTTCTGCTAACCGATTCGCATTGGCTGTTCTATCTTTCTTAAGTTTTTCAAGAGTATATTCAGCATCCACTGTGCTCAATAGCACCTCAAATTCTTGGTGCACCCAAGAAAGCACATCTTCTTTGACGTTGGCAGTAGCTTTTTCACGACGCTGAGCAGCTTTTTTTTGCAAATCCAGGGCATCCTACACCAAAAATTCAACGCGGTCAAATATCGCACGGTTTTAAGCATTTGAGCAAAGCAGAAAATTTTTTTACTTACCTTTAATCGTTTCTGAATAGCTTGTGCTTCTTCCAGTTTCCTCTTGTAAACGTTCTTTTGTTTGTTGTGTTCTAACTGTAGACGGGTGATTTGATTTTGACGTTTTCGATCTTGATCTTTTAATTTGTAGAGTTCTTGTTCCCTTGATCTCTTCCACTTGTTAAATTTGTCGGTTTCAGAACGCATGTTTCTAATTAATCTAACTTTTGTTTGCTTCAGACTCAATATTTCATTGCTCAAGCTTTTTATCTTTTCGTCGGATTTCTCTTTATTTTTAATCACTTTATTTTGCTCCAGTACCTTGCGATGTAAGTCTGCAATTTTTTTCTCCAGTTCTTGAACTTTTTTTCGTCTCGTTTCTGCAATTCTAAAATTGATTTTTCATATAAACAAAATACACCTGTTAAGTAAAAAATTTCATGATAGATAATGATTTACTAACTTTGCGCTAGTATTGCTCGTTTGTGCATTACGCAGTGCTTGCTGCAATTCATCCCTTTCTTTCGCCAAAGTCTTTATCTCATCTTCCATTTCTTCGAGCTCTTTTTGGTACTCTGCTATTTGCGATGAATTTTTAATAAGATTAGAGACCAATTCTTCTTTGATTGCCAACTGTTTATTTATATATTGTACTTCATCGACTCTTCCAGCTTGTTGAAGAGTATGTTCTTCGTGCTTCTCGTCCAAATCATACGTTTCGTTCATTAAACTGCTTTCTTCTATACTATTACTCATGGACTCCGAGTTGCCAGTGTTATTACTAGGCGAATCAGTGGACAATTCATGAGTTACTAACATATCATTTGCCTTCTTTTGTTCTTTTTGTAAATCTAAAATGTTGACACTAAATATTAGTAAATGTTTGATTTCTCATTTATCAATAAAATAAATTACGATGTACCTATGATTTTCATGCAAATATTTTCCAGCTTTCCTCTGTAACTTTCAACATTTTTCGGATTTTCATGAAAATCTTTCAAAAGACTTTCACAATCTTCCAAGAGTGAAGCTATAGCATTTTTCATTACTTCTCGAGATTGTTCTGTTAACTCAGCCAATTCATGCATATTGACCATTTCCATAAGGTTGGCACTCAGTGTTTCTGTTACTCCTCTCAATTTTCTTTGCAGAGACTTTACTTTGTCTTCCAATTCCGAATGTTCTGGTGGACACAAACTTACACCATTATCAGAATTTAGCATAGCAGTTCGTAACTCTTGTATGATTTTCTTGAGATTAATAATTTCAGCTGTTCTAGGATCTTGATTAACAATTGGTTTATTCTTAATTTTTTTAGCACGGTCGGCATACCTCAATGTACTAGTGGTTTCATCAATATTATAATCTAAAATATCGAGAAAAACAATTACTAAATTTATAACGATAAAATCTAAACAAATTAATTTCTCATCAATACGAACTTGCTGGACTAACACACGCAATCATTAACGTGACTGAATTGCCACCCAGTGAATCTTGTAACAAACGGGTCAATTTGCTATCTCGGTAGCCAATGTACGATGAGTTGCCACCCTCTCCTAATTGAGAAATAACGTTTCCTAAAGCTAAAAGCCCTTTGTTGATATTTACTCCTTCTTTAAATCTTTCTCCGATAGCCTGAGTTTTTTTAGATCGCTCTGAGCCAGCCAAATCAACTAGGTGGAACTTTGCAAATTTAGCTGAGTTCCTGAAAAAAATCAATTTCAACATTATATAGCTCATTCTAATAAAAATAGTTAGTTACCATGTTAAAAGAATAAAAATTATAGAATTTTATGGAGTTATTTTCGATAAATAATCACACGTCGGTTTGGTCATTTCTGTATCTCATAAATCATGCCCAAAAAATTTAGTGTTATTATACTAACGGTTCATTTTTCTTTTGCTGGTGCACAGATATAGTAAATATAGCGTGACTACGACTACTTTGTACATTCATAGCTGTTGCTCCTGTAGCTCTGTTAGATGATCCATCAGCTAGACATTGCAAAGTTTCTTGAGTGTTTGTCACAGGAATTTCCGACAAACCAACAATTTTAATTCCTCTCAAATCTTCTCTAATGTCGAGGACACATTGGTTGCGCGGCTTTTTTGATAATAAATCATACAATTGCTCTTTGTACAACTCCATGAATGCTACTGTTACTTTAAACTCCCAGTCTGTTTTTTTCTCAATTATTTCAAAAATATCATTAACAGCTCTCGGAATAACTCCACAATCGGCGTCACTTTTGTCGTAATTCGTGCCCATAGAAAAAGTTTTTCCACTGCCAGTTTGACCATATGCCAATATCGTGACGTTGTACCCTAAAATTTGACAATATGCATTAAAAAGATGTTGAGCTTTTGACTTATAAAAGAACAGAAATAAATGTGTACCCTCAAAAATATTAGAAATCATGTTCTTGATGGCAGTCTCATAGAATTCCTCCTGCGAACATTCTGGAGCAAATACATAATTAAAAGTAAACGCTTTCTCCGTGGATGGGATTTGTATTTGCTGTTCCCCAGGGACGACGTTTAGACATATCTGGCAGCCTTTTTCTTTCTCCGACTGTACCAATGGTCGTATCCGAACGGCAACTTTTACCAAGTCTTCGCTCATCTGTACAATACAAAGTATGGGTATAATCAAGAATTTATAAAAGCTAGGAAAAGAAGAGAAATTGAAAATACAACAATTACCTTATGAGTGTATATTTGATGGATGTGAAGTCAATTAACAGATATAACTTTAATAGAAAAAAACACTTGAGGTCATACTAAGAAACAAGACTATGGGTCAATAAACAATGTGACAGCTTTGTCGACACCGGAGTCGTAAGTACCGTTTGTAAAGTAACGCTTAACAAGTAATAAACAATCCTATATTGTCAACGCAATATTGTAAGCAATGCACTTTAAGTATCACTGCAACCCAGGATCGCGAAAAAAAAAAAAAGAAAAAAAGAGCTCGAGGGATCAAGTACCTAAAATTCACTAACACGCATCTTTAACGCTTGGCGTTTTAACACAACCGTAAAAACAAATCGTGGATAACGTGAACGAACGAAGAGGGTACAACGGCGAGAGAGCGTTTCAAGGTCGATTTGGCAAGTGACCCCTGGACACTCTCCTTCTTCGGCGGCAACCAGCAGCAGGACAACCAGGAGCAGAAATCGTGCACGCACGCAGGATGTGACTCTTTTTACACAACCGTACTTTTCAAATTGAAAACACACGTTCCCCGGATTGGACGAGCAGTTTTTAACAGAGGGCGCGCGCGGCAAATGGTTCGCAAAATTCCGCTTTTGGTTCGTTCGTGCGCGCGCGTTTCGCGATTTCCAAAGGAACGCCGGGAATGGCGAATCTAGGCTTGCGCGCTTTGTTTGAATAAATTTTTCTTTATTGCAATCTTATAAATTTTGAGTTATTTGCATGTTGAAGTATCAAAAAAGAAAAATTTACGTTCCGAGTATACTAAAATCCTCTCTTTCGATAATTGCTGCTCACATATGGTTTATTTGTTACGTACATACAATAACACGATCACCATTAATAAAATTATATACATTTTTGGAAATTTTTCTTTTCCCTTCCTAAAAGCAAAGTACACGAAAAGTAATTAATATAACTCATACAGAGTTGGTTTTAATAATTCCTTCTATAGCTGCTATTTTTATTCCGTTAATCAACACATAAAAATTTAATATTGTTTTGTAAAACGTATATTAATATATATAAAAAAGTATTTAAGTAAACGTAAAAATTTTGAATTTTACCTTACAATACTTGACAAACAAGTCTGTTAACAAAAAAAAAAAAAAAAACAGATTTAACTTTTTGCACTGAATATTGTTTCTCTGAATTATTGGGTACTTAATAATATGTTTACGAAAAGTGGATGGTGTGTAGGACTGTAGGGCAGTGTGGGTGCAACTTTCAATGACGGATTCTTAAATCCGCAACGCAAACCATGAATGCGGCACTGCGTGATTAAACCCATTATACACAGTCGTTGTGTGTTATTTTTGAAATGGGTGAACGCATGGCGGCGACGCTGTTCCGTAAAATTGAAATTTTTCGTACAAAAAGTTGCAGGCCTTGCAGCCCATTAAACGAAAAGGGCATATTCACTCAAAAGATGACCGGACTCTCCTATTACGTAGCAATAAAAGCCGGACTCCAGTGACAATATTTGAGTGTGCAAGCGAAGAATAATAGGTGTACCTGTAAATGTCGAAAGAGTCTGCAAGCTTTGCTGTGATTTTTTTTTATGCTCGGACTCGGGTTCTGTTAGTGCAGTGTAATTGCGTGTATGTAAATGTCCATAGTGTGGCCTAGTGTCGTCGTTCAAGATTTTTAATTACAAGTACCGAATAAAACTTCAGGATTAGGAATGTCAGTGACTTACGCTCAGCGTGGCAGGCCGCCTGCGACTCCTGCTCAAATACAAAAAGTACAAGCACCATTTTTTTCCTCCCTTGTATCGTGCTTAACCTCACTGTGCAGCAATAACAAGTGCTTGTTATTTTCAGATGCTGGATGAAAATTGTCATCTCATACAAACTATACAAGACTTTCAGAACAAAGGAAAGTCTCAGGAATGTATGCAGTAAGTGAAGTGGATTTTTCATTCAATTTCTTGTGTATCTATGCACTCTTCCGTGTCTTATATATGCTTCTCATTCAGGTACCAACAAATGCTGCACAGAAACTTAGTCTATTTAGCATCGATAGCCGATGCAAATCAAAATATTCAGGCACTTCTTCCGGTTAGCCACCAATCAAATCAAATTACACAAACAAGTAGTTGTAGTCTAATTACTCTGGTAATAACTAAATAATTTACTCAGGCACCTCAGTCAATTCCAAATGGACCAACACACAACATGATGGCACCTCAAGTCCCTCCAAACGTCCCTCCTTCTCAACCTGGACCAGGAACAGAAATGCCCCCCAATGCTCAACAACCCTTGCCTATGTCTGGCTTTAATCAAGGCCAATCTATGCCACAGGCGGGTTACAGAGGTCCCGTCATGCCTGGCCAAGCACCAGCTATGAATAGTAAGATTTTTGCTTGTTATTTTTTTCCAGCAGCATTAAAATTTAAACGAGAAACTTGTTGAAACATACTGCTTGATTCTGTTTTAGGGCCACCTGCAGGTCCTGGCCCACAGCAGTACAGAGCCACTCAACAAGGTTACCCACCTCAACAACCACCACAGCAAGGTTACCATCCTCCTTATGGTAATCAAGGACCAACAGCTAATTATCAAGGACCTCAGAACGCCAACTATGTAACTGGTCAGCCAAACCAATATGGTCCTCCGGCCACTCCTCAACAGCAGGGTTATCCTCCTACGAATCAACCTAATTATGGACCACCCCCAACCACTGTGAATAGTTATGGACCTCAACCTAGCGGCTATCCACCCCCTAATGCAAATCAGCCTCCTGCTGGGTATGGACCCCCACCTCCAAATCAACAGGGATATCCGCCTGCTAATGCAGCTCAGCAAAGTTTTCCAGCTACTGGGCAACAGCAGCCTGGACAATACGGGGGTCCAAGTCCACAGGGGAATTACCAGCAGCCACCCACGCAAGTCCCACCACCTCAAAACGCATACAATCCCAATCCCCAGACTGGAAGTTATCCTCCTCCATCTTCTCAAGGCTACCCAAATAACGTTCCGCCCCAACAGCAGTACCCTCCTCCACCAGCATCAAACGCTCAACCCCCTCAACCGCCCGTACCTCAGCCACCTCAGCCAGGACCGCCACAGCCCAATTACGGTAACCAGCCTAGTCCTGGCCCCGGTGGTGGGCCAGCACAGTATGGCCCTACCTCGAGTGCTCCTCCGTTTAGTGTGGCAGCAGTGTCAGGCAGCGGTGTCAACACTTATGTTCAGAGTAGTCAGCCCACGTGTACACCATCCGCTTCAACGCAGACCATATCACCGAATCCCCCACCTCAGACTCCTCAGCAGGGCAACTATCCTCAACCAACTCCACCTCCGAATTGGGGGAATCCCGTGCACCCGTCTCATCAACCACCACATCCGCCTCCACATCAGCCACCTCATCCGCCCCCACACCAGTCACCGCACCCACCACATCAGCAGCCATCTCCTCATCCACCGCACCAACAGCCGTCACCCCATCCACCGCATCAACAGCAACACCAAGCTCCACCGCCCCATCAGTCGCCGCACCCATCCCCGCATCAATCTCCTCAGCAAGCCCCTCCATCTCAAACTCCACCACAGCAACAGCAGTCGCCCAGTCCTGCGCCGACGGGTTTTCAGCCTCCTGCGGGACCTCCTCAGGGACCTGGAGGACCCCCCCAGCCCCAGCCTCAGAGTGCGTACGGTCCACCACCTCAGTCGCATCCCGCGACAACGCAAACTTATGTTCCAACAGCGCCTGGTGGACAGCCACAAGTTTACCCACCGCATCCTCCTCAGCCGGGTCAGCATTATGGTCACCCTCAGTATCCACCACAAAATTATCCTCCTCCACCTGCTGGTCAGGGATATGGACAGTATCCACCAAGACCACCCGCGGGACACATGCCTCCACCTCCTGGACCGCAAGGCCCACCTCCCAATCAGTATGCTGGTTACGGGTATCAGCCACCTCCTCAATAAGATTACTTCAATAGGTGGCTAAACTTTTAAAAAATTGCAACTAAAGATTGATGGAGTAGTCTCTTTGATATTGGGTTTACAATTTAATTGTGTTTAAAATCCATGTTCCTAATATTTTCAAATTTTTAGAAGTCGACGATTTTTCATTTTTAACAACTTGTATGGAACCTTATTTTTATTTTTTCATAAATAAATATTTTGTGATGATTAACTATTAAGAATGATGTGGTCTGTACATTTATTAATAAGTATGATGGTAGGAGAAAGGTGTCAAGAAGATTCGATTTTTCTTAACGTACCATAGAAAAGAATGTGTGAAAATGTAAATGGAGTGTACGAAACTTTGACATTTCTCTAAGCTCCATTGTATATTGTATATTATGTGATTTTGAATATTAAGTAATGATGGAAACATGTATTCTAGTAGTTGATTCTCAAAAAATGTTTTTAACCTAGCATTTAAAGCACATTGATGAATTTGTAACGCAAATAATTTGTACAGCTAATTTTTGACACGAAACATTGACATTATTTGGGCGAATCAACTGCTAGTCACAGAATAATGTTAATGAAAACGACTGACTTTTGTCAATAGGTACAATTACATTAATAGTACCAAATAAAGTATCATAGGTGTTCATTTAATGATGTGTTAAATTTATTAAGCGAATAAAGGGAACATTATTTTGTTGCAAATAAAACTTGGAAATTTTTTATTGCTAAAGATAAGACAGTTTTAAGAATTTTTCAGACAGAGGCAAAATAGATGATATTTTAGAAATAGTCTATAATAATTGTACATACATTTAAAATTATTTGCAACAAAATTCAAAATACATTCCTTTAAAATTATTTATGATTGAGCAATTTGTTTGTTCTAACTGCAACGTTGTAAATCAATGAAAACGCTTTCATTTCTTCTAGTGTAAGTTTTCAACAATCTTGTACATTAAGATTTGTGTATTTACAAAAAGTTTTAACATAATAGATAATCTTTTTCAATACTTAAAGTTCATCTTTATTTCCTTTTTCATTAGTTATACATTTGCACTTGTGCTCTGGTTGAAAAACTTGTTCCATTTCAGGTAAAACTTGGACGGTACTTTTCAATCTCTTACTCCACTCCTGCAAGTTGTAAAATAATTGTTAGCGTAAATCGTAACTCAAACTGTCACAAAAAATAATTAAAGTACGTACGTATAACAAAGCAACGTAGTAACAAAATACATTTTGCGGCATCAAATTATTCCTGGCAAATAATCTAGCTTCTTTGGTGATTTTAAAAGCTTCAGCGTCATTTTCCATGGCCCACTTAATTTTCTCCACGAGATCTGACAAATCGCTTTTCACAGGAACGTAATGCTTGAACGGTTCGACATCTTCATAGAAGAATTCGTAATACTTTGAGTTTTGTTTAAAGACTAAACAATCGCCAGCCAGTAAATAAGGAAATCTGTACGCTGCTACCGTTCCATCGATGTTTAACTGATATTTATACTGAAATACGATCGTTTAATGAAAACGAGAAATTTTTTTTTTAATATTCACGTCAAACATACCTCGAAAAAATCGAAAAATGACGTATGCTTTTCACCTGGGCCATATTTTGCCATTTCATTTCGAAAAAAGAAAAAGTTTGTGATTGATGCATTGAAAAGATCTGGATTATTTCTCGCAATGTCTATTAAATCAAGGCGTTCTCTTCTGGAGTCTCTGCCTCTCCAGAACATTTTCGGGATTTTTTCATTCCACGATGAATTTGTATTACCTTGTACAGATACCATATCAAGCATGACTCTGGAATTTTGAAAAATGTTTTAAACTTGACTAAAAACATTATTAGTGCAAAATAAAAAAAAACATGGGCTTTCATTTACCTGCCCATGGCTTCAATGGATGACTCGGTCAAATCCCAAGTTGGTAGAACAATATCTTTGAAGCCTTCAGAGCCACACCACGAGAATATGGGAAGGATATCCTTTTTCTCGGAAACTAGAGGCCAATCTCCTAAATTCATGAAAAATTCAACATCTGGTAAAACTGTTTTTCTCGTTAGAGAAAGTAAAATTGTGTCTGTAAATATTTTAAAACCGACGTGCTGTCCGTAACATTTTCTATAAATCTGAAAAAAAATGTCAACGTGATACGTTTGTATTAAAAAAAAAGTACCAATCTTCTTTATAAAAAATAGATGAGTTGAATACCTTGTTATCTTTGATAACGTAGTGGCAAACACTTATACTATTCGGTTTGTTAAATTTGTCAACAATTTTATTCCTCAAATCATCAAAATCTACGCTAGGAAACGTTGCAAGATCCCTCGAAATTTGTCGGTGACTCGGAAGACATTCGTTATTTTCAAGCCATATGTGCACTAAAGGATTCGGACAGTAGCATTCTTCCTCATGTATTGGCCCTAAAAATACGGAAAGTTTTCTACATGAAAAATTTTCAGAAAAAATAAAAATCCAACCAAATACACCTACCTTTGAAATCGTTTCGTTTCAAAGATAAAACTCGGTTTTTAACCAGTAACAAAATACGAAAATTAAAACAAGTGTTGAAAATTTTGTATCTGACGATAAAAGAACCATCTTTGCAGTCGAAAATTTGGGTCCAAATGGGACAAGGATCACCCTGCTCGGTGGTTCCAGTTATCCGAGCTGTGACCAGACTTTTCCCAGGAGACTTTGTAACGCTAAAGTAAACAAAAAAGATCATAAAATGTTAAAAAGGATAAAAATGCAAGAGTTAATACACACACTTTTTTCCTTGTTCATCGACGAGCTGTAGAAATATGTATCTCGCCCTCAAAATGATATTTTCGGGGTCCAATCCTGGGCCCCAGACTATTGTTTTCGACTCGTCAATAGAAACGCTGTCCTCAGCACACCGTATGGAATTTGAATTCGTAATAACCACCAAAAGAACGAACAAGTACTTATTTGTCCTCATCGTGGAACTTTTCTACGTGTTCTCGTGCACTCGAGGTTTTGCCGATTTTCAACTGCTTTTATCAAAGCGCACAACGTTCGCCATAAATTAACCGACATTTACACGGCAAATTCTTCTTTCCTTTTATCACCTATGCAAACAAATCAATGAACTCTTAACAAGTTATATGCAACTTGAGATTTTATGCAGCTTAAGTATTGAAATTGCTATTAGAATAAAAAAATTAAAAAATTTTAAACACAGATTTGCGGGTAAACATACTACTAAATCGACAATTTACGGCGAGTGTCATGCTGAGAGTATTTATAAAAGAAACATACATATGTGCAAAGCGCTACATATTTATACGCGTATACGCATGTGTTTTTACCAGCCTATATTCTCTCTCGTGCTCCGAAATGCTCCGATCCAATCGGATACTTTTACTGGCAATAGAAAATGCTGACTGACGAGCGAAATAATTATATTGAATCTTTTATAGCACTGATGGGTAAATTGAATTCAATGTTCATTTACAATAAATTCTTCTTTATAGTACCTATGACCCTTGTTGTGTATATCTTGATTAGCATACACCTGAAAATAAAGCTCCAACTTCCTTTTTTTCATACTTTTCGCCTTCAACTACGGTTGCACCACCGGAGTCAATCAAATTTCATACTCCATAAAAGCCTGCTCTGTATCTCCTATTGTCAAATCTGACCATAATGTGGCCTTAAAAAATATAAAATGAATAACAAATCAAGGACAGTGAAGGATACGCGACGAGTTTATAACGAAACTATGGGGGTGGAGTATAAAGCATGAAAAACTCGCATGACTCTACGACGCACGAGAGCGATGTAAGTATATATACAGAGTTGTACAGACACTGCAGCGATGTTGATTCGTTGCGCGACAATAGAAAACATTCAATTCCTATTGGCTAGTGAGATAACGTAACCTCTTTCATTGGTGAAATTTGTGCTTGGCACTCAACGATTTAAACTCCGTGATTTCGGAGCAGCACTGTGAAGGCGGCTCATCGCGAGCAAGCGCGCGAGTGTAGTACCTAAAAGAGGAAAAAAAAAAAAAAAAAGAACAAACTCCTCCCTTCCGCTTACCGATCCGCATCGGTGCCCAGCCCTCGTCGGGGCTACAGGGGGCTGTATGGAGGAAAAAAAAAAAAAAAAAAAAAAAGTGAGAGAAATCGCCAGCACGGCACACCGTACGGCCGTGTATAAACGTATAGCCATCACGGAGAGACGCATACATAATCCTCGTCGCCGCGCGTACATTATGGCAATGGCTATTTTATCGTGACAATTAATATACAATATGTCATCGGGGTTATTCGAACGCGCGCTTCCGTGCCTGCAAAAATTAATACTCTGAATAAACTTCGGGCTCGTGCAGTAACAGGCTGCAGGTGAGGAGAATTATCGACGACATACCTAGTGAAGAGAAGCCATGTACACACCTATATGGTACGATATCGCGAGTTGTGTTTATGTATATATTATACTTATAAGTGGTTGAGAGAGAAAAAGAGAGAGAGAGAGAGAGAGAGAGAGTACGGCGAGTTCCTCGTAGTAGGCTTGCAAAAGCTCGACCGAGCCGAGACGAATTAAAGGCCCCCTGGGGGTGTAACTCTTTCTCGTGTTGCAGGTCTCTCTCTTGCAGCGACTGCGACTAGTCAACTTCGACAGGTGTCCTTGGTCGAAGTCCGTTGGAGTCGCACTGTAAATTATTTATCAGTACTTGATGTAGCTCTGACACAGGGAGCAGCATTCATTCATCCTCTACGTCGTCACAGCTCTCTTCTCTTCTCCGTGGATCAGACCTGCAGCTGTTGCAGACAGACGGAGGCGGTGCCCCGCCTCGTACATATTAGGAAAAACGACTCATTCTCATCATATTTTCCTGTGAATAGTACTTGTTTTTCCAACATAAAAAGAAGGAATTAACACACACACACATACTGTTCTTGTTCTTGTTGTTGAGAAAAAAAAAAAAAAAGAAAAAAAAAAAATCAATGTGAGTGCAATTGTAATAGTTTTGTCATACTGAAGGCATGGTGCATAATCCTCTCTCTGTATAATTGTTTCTCTATAATTAATTTTTTTTTTTTCATTTGTTTCATGTTATACAATATCACATGTCTTGAGCCTCTCGGGTACATGGGCAAGACATCGATTTCGTTATTATCAGAGCAACGGATTTCTCGGTCTTTCGGTTTACGTATTATGCGAAATACGAGGAAAATAGAGGTCATGATGTACTTAGTGATCGAGAATGAGGACTTATAATTGTTCGCTTCAGCAGCTACGAGTGCCGTTATAACGTCGATTAAGTACACCCGTATATACGTGAACAATTTAAAGTCATCACTGAAGATAAATGTTTTAAAAGTCATACAAGCATTTAAAGTTTGACCAGTGCGTATTTATATTTACTCAAGCATGTGTATATATAAATATAAAAGTAAATATATGTGCATACACATATAAAACATTAGTGCAAGAAAAAAAAAAAGGAGCGTCGGAGGAGAAACGAAACGGAGAAGAAGCTGGGGGAGGGGGTGAAGCTGTCTTCGGCGCGGGGAGGGAAGTTTCCGATAAAAATAGATTGCCGCCGACGGTATCCGACGTGTGTGACGCGTGACATCGATTGGTCGAGAGTCGGGAGTCTCCGGACAAGCCGAGCGGGGATTGGGTGATCGGTCGAGGCGAGTGCGCGCTGGGGGCTCCGTCAGTGGTGGTGGGGGAAGGAGAGAACGTCGAGAAATTCGGCCGAGTCGGTCGAGGGAGGGCTAGTCGGTCGTCCCGAGCGAGTCTGCACGCAGCGTCTCTGGGTCTGCACTGCCGCAAGGATAGCATATATTTATATATATAGCTTGCTGCATCGCATCGTCGTCAGCTCCTCGCTGGCCTTTGTTTGTTCTCCCAGCTCGCTCTGCGATTCTGCTGCGCTCACTTGACTTCCCATTAAGCGATACATCTCGCTGCTGATTTTCGCAGTTTTTCATTGTCATAAATCTTTTCTCTTTTTTTTTAAATCTGTTTGTATAATCAGTTGTAAGTAGGCACGATTGCGCAGGACGCCATTAGTCGACGATCGAATAAATTGTATCTCTCGTGGGGTCTTGCCCGTTCTCTCGCGGACCTTCCGTATGGATCGATAAGAAGCGACAGCAAACAAAAACTCTTGCGCTCTGATAATTGTATATTTTTTTCCTTCTCGAAAGTTTCAAAGACAAATCGAGAAACAATCGCGCCAAACTATAAAGTTGAGAAAAAACTAACGTAGAGAGGATCATGCAAGCGTGTCGTTGTAGGAGATAAAATGGCGGCGGTTACCACGCACGTCTCTGTCGTTGAATAAACCTTGTCTATCGTTGCAGACCCCCCATCGTACGTTGCATCGACGTTATGTCGTAGATTTTGCAAGAAGAAAAGTTATAGGCGAGTTTTAACAATGGTGAGTTTATCATTTGTAATGTGTAATTTTAGTATTACGGGTGCACATAATTGACATGTACATTTGCATCACTGCGTTGCGTCGTGGTCAAAGGGGACGCCATGTTTTTTTCGGGCTTCTTCCTCGACGACGGGATTTTGCCTCGTCATCGTTGCAAAGTTTACAATTTCGCCGCTGAGGGCGTCTCGGTTCCTGTTTCCCACTTTACCCTCTACTTTCTCGACGTTGCTTTGCAGATGTGTCATGTATTTTTTTTTTATTACGCTTAAATAGTAATTAATTTGCGATTATGCTTACGAACATAATATGTGCTCGATGAACTTGAGATAATTTTGAAAATATTTTCAAATACAAATGAGATAAACCACGATGTACACGTAACAAATGCATACTGAGACACGTGATTATTTGTTTGTTAAAATAATTGGGTGATTGTTTTTTAGTATGCGAAATTAACTATTGGAACTCTGAACCATTGGGCAGTTACTTACAATGGACTGAACTTACTGATATTTGTTCCACATTTTGATTATAAAATTGATGTGCACGTGTTTTCATGTATTGCCAGAATTTTCAAAATATTTCAACAGTTCTCATTTTCAAATCAACTGATTGATAGTGTTATAAACATTAACAATAATTGATTTTTTTTTTTTTTTTTTTTTTCTTATTTTTCAGCCCCGCATAGATCCATTATCGTTGCTGAAATGTCTCAGTGTCCTACTGGGTCCAAATGGTGGCATCAAAAGTAAAGAAGAAGTTATTCGTTTAGCAAACCTGATGACAAAGTTTTCGAAAAAACTCGTGTCAAAATGCATTTATATACAGATTTTGAAGAGCACAGAATCTGGACTCCTCGATCAGTAAGCATAACATTTTTATTCATTTTACTTTTCAGCAAAACTTGATAAGAATTGCACACTGAGACACATAATTATTTTTTCTACTAAATAAATTATGTGATTTTATATAAAGTGTGCAAAATAAATAAATTAGAACTCTGAACCATTGGGCAGTTGTTTTTAATGAGCTGAACTTACTGATGTGTGTTCTACATTCTTTCAATTTACACACCTATTTGAATACAAAAAATTTCTGCGACTAATTACTTGGGAATTTTCTATTTTTCTAGGTTTATGGGAGCTGGTGGCTGGAACCTTATTCATATGTGGCTAACGGATGGTATCTTGGCCAAAAATTGGGCTCTAATTCAAGAGTTACTAGAACTCTTGTTGCTGTGTCCAGTTGATACTAATAGGTTGAAAAGCAATCACTGTCCTAAACTGATAAAGGGTTTATCAAAAGAGGGTAGTCACCATGGTGTTAGAACGTTAGCCAGTCGACTTGTAGAACAGTGGTTGAAAATGGTTAAGGGAGAGGCTATGCCTCAGACAGAGGCAGTTCAAGCTGCTTCTGTCGGTAGTTTAGCGAACATTTCAAATTCTGCACAGCCAAATGCAAGTATTACTCCTGTTACTAGTCAAAATATCAGCAGTGAAAATGCTACATCAATTAAAACAAGTGATTCTCCAGGTGTACACAGCTCCCCTGCCACCTGTTCTTTTCCTACTCATCAAGAACCTGCTAAAAATGCATCCCTTTCCAAAACATTAATGAATAATTCTAGTGAAAAGCCACAAGTTATTTCAACTTCAGTTTATAAAATTACCATTCGAGATGGCAAAGAGGTCTTAACTCAAGTTCAAACAGATGCAGCTAACATAAATAACATAATAGGTGTGAATAACTTGGAAATAGAAGTCAAAGGTGGTGTCGGTAGAGTGCATCTTGCGGAAGAAGATTCTAAATTTACTGATAAAAGTGAATCAAATGTTCAAAGGACATATAGTGTTGATAAAAATAAGGTAGAATCAGAATCAAAAGACGCTTCTAATACAGTCAAAGACGGTGTGGCTAGGTTGAACGATGAAACTGATTCTGTTAAAAGTAGGGATATTAAAAATGAGAAAGATGTAATTAGTGATGGTAGTAAGTCGACTAGTGATAAGGAAAATCGCGATAAAAGAGACGATAAGAAAGGTGTTAGTTCTGACAAAAAAAGCAGTCATTTGCAGTCTTCTAGTAAAAGCTCCAGCAAACATGGCTCCAGCTCAAATAAGTACACTTCCACATCAAGCAAAAGTAGCTCTAGTTCTCAGCGTTCCAGTTCCAAAAGTAGCAGTAGTAGCATGTCGAGGGACAAGTCTTCCAAAGATAAAGAAAAGGATAGGTATAATTCTAGCAGTTCATCAAAAAGTTCTAGCTCAAAGTCAAAAACTGATCGTGACAGAGAAAGAGAAAAGGAAAAGGAGAAACAGAAGAAAGATCAGGCGGAAAAGGATAAGGCAACATTAGAAAAAGTTCAAAGTCAGTCACTAACTTACAAAATAGGAAAAATTCCCAAGAAAAAATCTGATGAAGAAAAATCCGAAGATTCTTCCAAAAAGTCTTCAGTGGATTCTAAGGACAGTAAAGATAAAAAATCCGTGGTGGTTACGGAAAAGAAAAAGATTTCAATATCCATTGAGAATAGAAAAAATTCTCAAGATTCGACGTCTCGGCCTAAAACTGTCAAGACTTTCAATTCGAAATTTAGATCAACCGGCCTCGAAGAAGAAGTTAAGCCCCCTCCTCCTAGAGGATCCAAGAAACCAACTTCTGTACCTGATAAAAAAGTAACACCGCCTCCCAAATTTCCATTGAAAAGATCTTCTCCAATCAAAGACCTGGGACCACTGGACAAAAAAGCTAAACTTATTATGGACTCACCACCAACTGACGAGAAGAAAGGAGGAATCAAACTCATTCCAGCAAAACCAAAGTGTACGTATATTTTCTTGATACTACTTTCCAACACTTTGTTTCTAATATTTTTTGTTTTAAAGTTATACTCGCGAGAAAAATATTCAAAGGTCAAGAGATATAAAAAAAAAAAATCTGTGATTGTACTAAAACAAATATCTTACTATTTTATATTGCTTAACTTTTATAAGACTGAAATTCAAAAACTCGTTTAATTTTTAAATTAAATTGAAATAGTTGTTTAAAAAAACTATTTGATGTTACTATTTGAATATCAGTCTTTATAAGAATCTAAAATACACATTCTAACACTTGTATATCGAGTTTGCAGGTGGACAGTCACAGAAGCAATTGGTGCAAAGTCATAATTTTTCTCTAGTCAACACTTTTGATAAATATATTTGGCAACAATATTTGTTCAGACAACTATTTGACATAACAAAAACACTATTTCAACTAACCCTTGATTTTTACAGGCTTTCACATGCACCTCCTATTTTCTCATTTTTATATTTTTCATTACGTATATCGATATTTCATTGTAATTATCCTGTATCGGTATCCCTTTCAAAATGTCAGGAAAATAAGTGATAATTATTCATCGGCAATGCAAGTTTACGACGGATTATCTTCAGAAAATTGGAAGAAAGAAGAGTGGATCATCACTGCGACATTGGTTTAAAATTAGGTGACCAAGATCCAGCAGGTAACCTTCGAAAACAACAATAATTTAAAAAATACGAAAAATTGTGCATTTCGCTAAATGAAAACTGCTACAAAGCAAAGACAATAAAATCCAATATTGCGCCGTTAAATAAGTTACCCACAAAACATTTTTCGTTTCGTTTTTGTTAGAACCTTTTTCAGGCAACAAAAACATATCATTAGATGAGTGATTTTTACAATACAGTATTACATAACGCGATTCGGTGTTTAGTGGGTAAGAGTGAATGTGTGTGCGAGTACTGAAATAAAGAAACTGATAAATCACCAACGTTTAAGCGGTAATCGTTAAATAGGTAAGACACCAACGAGCAAATTTTTGTCCATCTATTTTTAATCCCTTGTATATGTATACCCTTTTTAAGCTTTTCAATAAACTATCAGAAATCTGGAAAAATAAATTGGACTCTTGGGTTTCTTCTATTACAACACGCATTATCATTATTCTCAAAATGATGAAGGAAAAAAAAATCCGAAGTTTATGCGTTAACCCATTCATCTCTCGATTGAGCCCATCCAGATTTCCATCCTCTCGGTAAATAATTCATCAAATTGCTCTAAAATGACGATTTTCAAGCGCTCGTAATGGTGTTTCTTATACTAGATACTGATTGCATCAAAATGCATGAAAATATGCACTATTTCAAAGTCCCAGTAACAAAATTTTTTTTTTCATACTGTCCAAAAAATGCGTTTACTGATCAATGACGATTAAAAAATCGAGAATAAAGTATTGCTCTTTACACCATTTCGACGCGTTATTGTTTCGCGAGAAATGCAGTATTAAACTTTTACACGATTACCGAAGAGAATAGAAATTTGCGTTGGACTGCGATTGATACATCCCAATATCCTTGTGTGTAAGAGTGACATGAGTGTGTGAATGTTAGATCACGTTATTTAGCCCAATCGCTTTCGGATATCTTTTTAAAATAATTGAAAATAACCTGAAGTTTCGTATACTTATATAAACAGTGTTAATTTTGAATTATTAGGTGAATTCAGTTTTTTTTCTTCAAATCTTCAGTTATACTAAATTGAAAAAAAGATCTGTTCAGCTATCTGTATAGCTAATTGTATTTTTCTCAAGTCATTGGTAATGATATTTAAATTCAATGGCTCAACCATTTTTAATGTTAAACACGATAAGAGTATTCTTATCGTTTGCTTTAACACAGCATACCACTAAGACTTGAAAAGTTATACATACTTCGTCTTTAAGGTAGTTCTGCACCCACAGTAAAGTTGTTCTCAACGTGTACAGTTTAATGACGGATTACTGATTTTCCTACTAAGGTAGATAATCATTTTTTTTTTTTTTTTTCGAGATAAATTTGTACACGCATATAAATCTGCCAAATTATGTTTCTGGTATTTTGGGTCGCTACTCAAAGCTCAAATCGCTTCACTACATGTTTTTCTTTAAAACAAAATATGATTACGTAACAGAGCAACATAGATTATGCTGTAGTGTCGTAGAATACACAACAAAAACGTCGATAAAATAAATATTTTTTCGAATAAATAGTGGAAAGTTCAGTGATTATCGTGATAATCGTATTTTGACTCCCAAGAATTCGTAACAACTTCCACAGAAAAAATAAATTATAATGTCAGAAAAATTGGACAGAAAGCGATAATATGAGAACGACTTTGTCACTGCGATATATTAAAAGCTAGCATTTTAAAGTCAAAATGATATTTAAATGTGATACATAAAATATTTAATCTTACATGGAAAAAAGTTCATCCATTCCAAGTTACAATGAAAATAGCTAACATTTAATAATAAACAGATCGCTGTAATTATACAGCAAAACTCTTTATTTACTTGAAATGAATTTAAACATCTGAGTACAACTGTGCGTTTTTTTGATTTATGCATCAATTCTCGAAGTCGAAATTATTTTACATATAAAACGTGTGATTATTTCAATGATAACGAGAAATTTTACAGATAACAATTTCAACTACTTTTTTACAATTTATTCTTCACCCATAAAGTATCCTTGAAGCAATCACCTAAGGTGTTAAAAAAAATGTGGGTTCTTTAATTATAATAACGGCAACACATCCCTTAATATATTAATGAAATGAGAACGATTAATGCGTGGTATAACAATATTTTTGCACGAATTACTTTAATTTATTGAAATCAGTGAGAAACGCGTTATTTTAAATTAATTTTGGTAATATCACAAAAAAGATTCAAAATTAAAAATGGTTGGAAACAGCTCATAGAAAAAATTCGATCATTAAAAATACATTTCACTGCGCACCTAAGGCGCTAAAGTAAAAAAAAATGCCACTGCTCCTTCTTTCTTTACCGACCTGGCGTGAAACGGACGCGACTTACCCGGACCGAGAGCGTTATATTATTATCTTGAGCTGTAATGCATCGCTTTCGGTTTCGAGTGTGACGTAGAAATCTATTTTACTTATGTTTCTTTTAATGAATGCACAACTTTCATCATGTGTATTATTTTGAATTACAGCACGACCGTACCTCTTGCTCTTGTACCGTAAGTTTTATCAATTCATTACTGTTGCGGCCAAAGGCAAAAAATTACGAAAATACAAACTTTTATTACGAATCATTGATCATAAGAATTTAGCAAATTATAAGATACGGACATTCAGTGTATTGATATTATTTTCTGATAACTTGAGAGATTGGGTTGAATACCCACGTCAACAATTTTGAATATGTTTACGCAAACTAGTAAAAATAAAATAAGTAGAAAATTTTTAAGTAAAAGAAAAAATTTGCAGTATTTGACAAAATTTATTTGTAATGGCAATAATTGCACAAGTTAAATTTTAATGGTTGGAAAAAAATAATTTGTTAATGCATGAGTAATAATATTGATTAACGTAAGGGTATTCTTTGTGATGACGTGGGTCGTAGATGGCGAGAAAGGAAAATTATGCACGTATTTTTATAAAGAAAAAGAAAAAATATAAATTTAAAGTGCAGATACCTATGCCGGAGGAAGAGGAGAAACTGAGCGGCGTTGGGACGAGACGAGAGCTGTGGACCGTTCGAGGATGGCTGGCTTGTAACGAGAACGCAAAAAGCTCAACTTCCAGGGATATCATTGCAGCTTTTGCCGATTACGAATAATTCCTTTGGCTTATTTGCTACCAATTGAAAGCGAGAAAAAGTAATTTTTAGATACTTTCGGTTGCAAACCTCCACCGAAATGTCTATACTTTTTTTTCTTATTTAATTTAATTTTTTTTTTTTTTTTTTTCCAATAGTAACGATGATAAAAGCAGAAAGAAATCGGGAGTAAGTAAAATCATAGCGCTCAGCCGTTTGGTGAAAATTTTCCGAGATCGGTTGGGAAGCGCAATCGTAGTCCTCTCTAGGGATGATGGTAAACGGTGATGAAAGTGGGGAAAAATGTTGGTCGGAAAAGGGGAAGGGTGGTAGATGGAGACACGCATCGATTAAGCCGTGAAAACGTGGAGCTTTTTTTCACAGCCCATGATATATACGGATAGACGTATGTATGTATGCGCTGCCCATACACGCAAGCTCTCCCGGCTGATGAATAACTTGGATATTTTTTAGGTACAATAACGTGTATAGGTGCGCGCTGCAAGTATAATATATAACACGGGCAGCGCGTCGTCACCGTACATATAGAGACAGTAGAGTACATGCGAGTCAGCGGCCACGGCTATAGATATATTAATATAATACACGGTAGGGGGTGCCTCGCGTCTCTCTGTTCACTCTCTGCTGATGTTGCTGGGCGCACTTGCGCAAAGACGGCCACCGCTTGCTCCGCTTCGGCCGACGGTGCGCCGTTGGGAGGTGCGGCTCCCACTTGGGACTTTTCCCGGCGGCTTTGGGTGTGACGTATATATAAGTACACCCACTACTGCCACTTTTCCGCCGCTTAAATACAGGTATTTAGCTCGCACGGGCTCGGGTCTTTCGTTGAATGCTCACCTGTGTTTTTGCAATCCAAGCGTCTCGGATCTCTTCGTTTCTTCCGATTTTTAATATTTCTTTGTCTTTTTCGATTAAGTTTTTTTCATTCTTTAATTTAATTTTTAATTTGTTTTAAGCGCCCCGAGTAACATCCGTTCTTCAGCTTTTTTGTATAAGCTTTTTCTCAGAAAATACCAAATTATATCACCGAAAAATCATATGCAAGAGCTATTTAATTTTTGCAATAAATTATTATAAGTACCAAATGATTCGAAATCGTAGTTTTTAATAGTACCGGATCTAAAGTACTAGATACATTCGTTTAAAAAAAAAAGGAATTTGAAAAATGCGTCAAGTTATCGGAAAAAAATTGAGCCAAGATAACAAAAGCACTCGCTCACGCCACCGGAGGAATTAATGAATTCTTAATTGATTTTGTCGCTCTTAATCATAATGAAAGTCTTGCGTTTATTTCATAGATCGTAAACGTATCGTACCGAAACGAATTTCAATTTTTGCTTTAGCGATTACGGATCCTGCACTGATTAGTTTTAATGAATATTTATCTTACAAATATAAAAAAATTTTTTAAACAATATAAGAAGATAATAATCAAAAATTAAAAAAAATAACGTCTGCTTTGCGATTACGATAGTAATTTAGCGCATACTTGTCGAACTTAGTTACGCGTTTTCCCCCTATATTTGTGTTTCATGCATTTGTATAGAATACTATGCGTATTTTTAATGTTTTTTGAATTTCTGTAGTGATTTAGAATATAATAATTATTTTTCATATTTTTTTTATTTGTAAAAAAGCGTTTGATAATTTGTATTTTTTTAAATTAAGAAAAAAATTTTTACC